TCAGTTAGCTGAGCAGATGTTTGTCATTACCTGAGGCCCATGTAAAGAAAGCTATCAAAAGATTCTCCACTGGCTGAAACAGAATAATAATGAAAAGCACTTGAGGTTTCAGAAAAATGCTGCTTTAGATTCTGTGCAAGGATCCTGTGTAATTAGATTCTAGGAAGAGTGTGCTATACCTCAATGCATCAGTGTTTCCAATTCTATATACAGGCAATCTCCAAGTTACGAACATGGTACGTTCTGCAGGTTTGTTCTTCAGTTGAATTTGTATGTAAGATGAAACAGTTACATCTTTTAAGTGTAACTCCAGCCAAAGATAGATATTTTAAAGCTTTGGATAGCACAGGGAAGGGTTAACACCCCTGTGGGGTTTCTTTTGTTGTCTGTGCTCCTGTTCTGTTCCTGTGATGACTGGATTTTGAAAAAAAAATGGCTTGTTGTGAGAACAAGGATGGTGTTAAAACTTTGGTGGAGGCACCTTTTCCCCATGATAACTCTTCCAGGAGTGAATTTCCCTTCCGAGGGGTAGATTTCTCTCATTTCCTACTGTCTCAGCCTCATTCTTAACTATGAGTCATTTGCAAGTCAGATGTTTGTAACTTGGGGACTGCCTATACTGGATTAAACTAACTGTTTGCCTGTATTAAATCCCCATTTATCATAGTCCCATAGGAAATCTTCTGTAGTCATTTATTTTGAACAGTTTACACTATCGTAACTACAACACCTGGCCATTTTTGCTACTCACTACTGAAAGTTTTAAAATCTTGCTACTACACAGTAGTGGAAACTTATGCAACCTGAACCCATGTATGTTTACTTGAAGATAACACCCACTGAGTCCAAATGTGATTGGTATAGTTTAAGTATCTTTTGACTACATTGACACAAGTACCTTCAATTTGAAAGCCATGTATGCTTCATTTTTCACCTCATTTGTGTTTTGAATAACACAGTAGCAAACAAGTTTTTATATATATATATCCAGGTTCTATTATTTTTAATATGTCTACATCAATTGTTGCTTCATTTGTATTCAAGTATGAATTTTGAGTAAAGGCCAAATCCTACTGAGTTTGACATTTATGTTTCCAACCATTAGTAGTACTGCCCTAAACACATCAGATATGCAGCCCTGGTGAGTTCACCGGTGCAGACTTCCAGATAAACAGGTGAAGGTTTGCAAATTCCCCAAACACAGATGTTCCAAAAAGACATGCAACCAGATATCTATAAGGAAAACAATAGCTGGAGTGTCAAACTCATATTTATTGAAAGGAACCAGAGTACTGTGAAAATTTCCAGTGCATTTCTCTTATTTATGATGTTGGACTACCAGTTTCCAATTTTTCTTTCTATTATTTAAGCTTCGGGAACGGTGCACTTAAGTCTACATGACAGACATAGAAGCATGAAGTAATTCATTATAAGAAAAGCAGTATCTGATAAGCTTGTTATGTACTGCACGAAAGTACTTCCCCATAACCCTGCAGGAAAGAAGCTAATATTGCCAACTCATAGAGACTCATCACAGTTACACTAAAGAAAAAAAAAACTAAAAACTAAAACGTCATGTGTCTCCACAGCCACAGATTCTGCCTTCACTGATTTCACCAACCACTGCTTGAAAATATTTACAGAAAATGTTTTTCAAAAAGTAACAATTGATTTGTCATTTTATACAAATGATGCCATTTTACTGCACAGTTGTATAAAATGGGACTTCAGCACCCACTAAGGGTGCATCTACACTGTGGAATCAATCCAGTTTGACATCACTTGAACTGACATGGCTCAATGCTATGGACTCCTGTGAGTTGTAGTTTGGTAAGGCTGCAGCACTGTTGGGCAGGGAAGGCTGAGGACCTTGTAAAACTACAACTTCTCATGAGCTCTGACACTTAAAATAGTGTGAAGCTGTAAATTATTATTATTATTATTATTAAGTTGTCAAAGGCTTTCATGACTGGAATCACTGGGGCCCTTTCTACAGTGCTATGTAAAATCAAATTATCTTCTTTGAACTGGATTATATAGCAGTGTAGACTCAGATAACCTAGTTCAAAGCAGATAATGTGGATTATCTGCTTTGATAATCTGGATTATATGGCAGTGTAGAAGAGGCCTGGGTTGCTGAGAGTTTTTCGGGCTGTATGGTCATGTTCCAGTAGGTATTCTCTCTTGATGTTTCACCTGCATCTGTGGCTGGCAAAGATGCCAGCCAGATATGCAGGCAAAACGTCAAGAGAGAATGCTACTGGAACATGGCCATACAGCCAAAAAAAACTCACAGCAACCCATTATTATTATTATGATCATCATCATCATCATCATCATCATCAAACTATTCCCTGCTTTTTCTCTCTGCAAGGAGAGTGGCTTACATTAAGAGCATTTCAGTAGAATTCAAAATCTATAAATATATAAATCTTAAAACAGAATAAAATATCATGGGTATTTTTAAAAAATCAGTTAAAATAAATACATAGTAAAACTTTTTTTAAAATCCACAGTATAGATGCACCCTCAGGGCCCTTCCAGACAGCCATATAACCCAGAATATCAAGGCAGATAATCCACAATTTCTGCTTTGAAGTGGATTATGTGAGGCCCCTTTCATGCAGCTGAATAAAATCCCACATTTTCTTCTTTGAAATGGAATATATGGCAGTGTGGACTCTGTTAACCCAGGCTCCTTCCACACAGTTGTATAACCCAGAATATCAAAATCCCACAATATCCACTTTGAACTGTGGGCCCTTCTACACAGCCCTATATTGCAGAATATCAAGGCAGAAAATCCCACATTATCTGAGTGTAAATTCAGATAATCCAGTTCAAAGCATATATTGTGGGATTTTCTACCTTGATATTCTGTGGTATAGGGTTGTGTGGGAGGGCCCTGGGTTATCTGAGTTCACACTGCCATAAATTCCAGTTCAAAGCAAATAATGTGTGATTTTATTCAGCTGTGTGGAAGGGTCTCAGATAACCCAGGGTCCTTCCACACAGCCCTGAATCCCAGAAGATCAAGGCAGAAAATCCCACAATTTCTGCTTTTAACTAAGTTATCTGAGTCCACACTGCCATATATTCCAGTTCAAAGCAGATAAGGTGAGATTGTCTACCTTGATATTCTGGGCTATAAGGCTGTGTCCACACTTCCATATAATCCAGTGTGGATTTTATACAACTGTGTGGATGGGGCCTTAGGGTCCTTCCACACAGACGTATAACACAGAATATCAAGGCAGAAAATCCCACAATTTCTGCTTTTAACTAAGTTATCTGAGTCCACACTGCCATATATTCCAGTTCAAAGCAGATATTGTGGGTTTTCTGCCTTGATATTCTGGTTACAAGGCTGTGTTGAAGGGCCGAGTCCACACTGCCATATAATCCAGTTAGTGTCTCCTTGTTTTTAACAAAGTGACACTAATTACTTATGCTTTTATTGATGTTGTTATTGTTTATATTATATGTTAATATTTTAATTGTACTTATGGGCATTGAATTTTGCCCTGAAAACCGCCTTGAGTTGTCTGTGGCCTGAGAAATGCAGTAAATAAATAAATAAAGTATGGATTTTATACAGTTGAATGGATGGGGCCTTAGTGACCTAGGGCCCTTCCACACAGCCCTATATTCCACAATATCAAGGCAGAACGTCCCACAATATCTGCTTTGAACTGGAATATATGTCAGTGTGGACTGAGGGCCCTTCCCCATAGACCTATATTCCAGAATATCAAGGCAGAAAATCCCACAATATCTGCTTTGAGCTGGAATATATGTCAGTGTGGGGACTCAGGAGCCTTCCACACAGCCCTATATTCCACAATATCAAGGCAGAAAATCCCACAATATCTGCTTTGAGCTGGAATATATGTCAGTGTGGACTGAGGGCCCTTCCACACAGCCCTATATTTCACAATATCAAGGCAGAAAATCCCACAATATCTGCTTTGAGCTGGAATATATGTCAGTGTGGACTGAGGGCCCTTCCACACAGCCCTATATCCCAGAATATCAAGGCAGAAAATCCCACAATATCTGCTTTGAGCTGGAATATATGTCAGTGTGGACTCAGGGCCCTTCCACACGGTCCTATATCCCAGAATATCAAGGCAGAAAATCACACAATGTCTGCTTTGAACTGGGTTATCTGAATTTACACTCAGATAATGTGGGATTTTCTGCCTTGAAATTCTGGGATGTAGGGCTGTGTGGAAGGGCCCTCAATCCACACTGACACATATTCCAGAATATCTCTCAGAATATCAAGGCAGAAAATCCTACAATATCTGCTTTGAACTGGAATATATGTCAGTGTGGACTGAGGGCCCTTCCACACAGCTCTATATCCCAGAATATCAAGACAGACAATCCCACAATGTCTGCTTTGAACTGGGTTATCTGAGTCCACACTCAGAAAATGTGGGATTTCCTGCCTTGATATTCTGGGATATCGGGCTGTGTAGAAGGCCCCCAAGTTTTTCTGCTTGGGATCGTCTTCTTTTCAGAAAACATGACTCGCAGGGAAAAAAAAACACGCGTCAGAAGGGAGGCGGAGGCGACATCAAGACTTCCTCCTTCTTCCTTGCAGCTCTACAACTTATTCAGTCCTGGCACAACCGCATGGTTTATGCCCATGCATAGGGCCAGAATATCAAGGCTGATCCTCCACAAGATTTGCCCCGAACTCGATTATCTGAGTCCACACTGGCATAGAATCCAGATCAATGTGGGTTTTATACAGGAGAGAGAGAGACCAATCCTTCCTGCAGAGGAGGAGGAGGAGGAAAGGCCACTCTACCCCCCCCCCCCAAAAAAAAAAGCCTTTCGCCTTCAGAGCAGCTAGTGCTGATTCACCAGTCCCGAAAACAACCCTGTTACACAACGAGGAAGGAAATAAAAAACACACACACACACACACAGAGAGATACACAGTTACAAACAACACACCCCAATCCCATTTCGGGCCGCCGCAACTCTACCCAGTCAGGAAGGAAGGCTGTTTGTTGGTGGTGTTGTTGGTGCTGCTGAGGCACCGCGAAGGGACGAAGGAGGAGAGGCCTGGAGGAGGAAGAGGGCAGCGGAGTCTTGCTGAGGAGACGCAGAGAAGCCGGGAGAGCCCTTGCCGCATATCTCTCGGCCCTGCCTGCCTGCTTACTTACTACCGCCGGCGCCCAAGCCCGGCCTACTTGGGCCCGCCCCGCCCTCGGCCGCTCCTCCTCCTCGGAGGCGCCATTTTCTTCCCTCGCCTCTCTCCCGCCGCCCAATGGGAGGCCGCGCCCTCAGCCTGGGCCTCGGGAAGTCGCGCGCCTCTTGCTCACCTCAGGGGAAAAGCGCCTCAAGAAGGCCTGGGCAAACTTAGGCCCTTCGGGGGTTTTGGACTTCAACTCCCACAATTCCTAGCGGCCTCAGCGGCTGAGGGAGAAAAGGAAAGGGCCTGCTAGGAATTGTGGGAGTTGAAGTCCAAAAAAACCCTCAAAGGCCCAAGTTCGCCCAGGCCTGGTCCCAAAATTACAAGCATCCCACTTAAACATGTCTCATAATTCAGAACAAGGCTGAGGCAATAGGAAGTGAGAGAAATCTACCTTTAGGAAGGGAAATTCACTCCTGAAAGAGTTATCCTGAAGGGAAAGTGTCTCCACTGAAGCTTCCTCAACAATCCCTGTTTCCAGAATCCAATATTTATTTATTTATTTGCAGTATTTATATACCGCTTTTCTCACCCCTAGAGGGACTCAAAGCGGTTTACACTTAACTGGCAAAACTTCAATGCCATACTCAGTTCTTGTGGGTTTTTTTGGGCTATATGGCCATGTTCTAGAGGCATTTCTCCTGACGTTTCGCCTGCATCTATGGCAAGCATCCTCAGAGGTGAGCAGTGCAATCAATTGATTGAGATTGGAACTTGGAATAATAGACGAGGAGATCGGATTACGACTTTATTGATGAGACGTATTGGATTAGTTATATGGATGTATTGTTGTTATATTGTTATACTGATGTATTGCTATGTGATTTAGTTGCTTAGTTACTGTTTTTAAATGCTAATACTATTGTTGTGCACTTTGTATATTGACCTGGCTGTAAACCGCACTGAGGCGCCTACGGGCTGAGAGAGTGCGGTATACAAATAAAGTAAATAAATAAATAAATAAACATGGCCATATAGCCCGAAAAAACCCACAAGAACTGAGTGATTCCAGCCATGAAAGCCTTCGACAATACTTCAATGCCATACTTACTTACTTACTTAGGCGATCCCTTGTTGGACGAGTAAGATGGTCTTCCATGATGCGTTTCCTTGTGGGTTCGTAGGTGGCTGTGGAGCCTTATTCTTGACCCGCATCTTCTCCCACAGTGAAGGCATTGGTTTCCAGGTGGAAGGCAGTCCCAGTCGAGGTTGGCTTCACACGCCTTCCTCCTGGCATGTTTCTCTCTTTCACCCTCCACTCGTGCCTCCTTGAATTCTGCAGCACTGCTGGTCACAGCTGACCTCCAGCTGGAGCGATCAAGGGCCAGGGCTTCCCAGTTCTCAGTGTCTATGCCAGAGTTTTAAAAGTTGGCTTTGAGCCCATCTTTAAATCTCTTTTCCTGTCCACCAACATTCCGTTTTCCGTTCTTAAGTTCAGAGTACAGCAACTGCTTTGGGAGACGGTGGTCAGGCATCCGGACAATGTGGCCGGCCGAGCGGAGTTGGTGGCAGAGGACCATCACTTCAATGCTGGTGGTCTTTGCTTCTTCCAGCACGCTGACGTTTGTCCGCTTGTCTTCGCAAGAGATTTGCAGGATTTTCCGGAGGCAGCGCTGATGGAATCATTCCAGGAGTTGCATGTTTCGCAGGCATAGAGCAGGGTTGGGGGACAATAGCTTTGTAGACAAGCACCTTGGTATCCCTACGGATGTCCCGGTCCTCAAACACTCTCTGCTTCATTCGGGAAAATGCTGCACTCGCAGAGCTCAGGCGGTGTTGTATTTCGGTGTCGATGTTGACTTTGGTGGAGAGGTGGCTGCCAAGGTAGCGGAAATGGTCAACATTTTCTAATGTTACACCATTAAGTTGTATCTCTGGCATTGGGAGGGGATGGCTGGTGACTGCTGGAACAGCACTTTGGTTTTCTCGATGTTCAGTGACAAGCCAAGCTTCGTGTATGCTTCTGCGAAGGTGTTTAGAGTGGCTTGTAGATCTTCTTCTGAATGCGCACAGACGACATTGTCATCAGCATACTGGAGTTCTATAACAGATGTTGTTGTAACCTTGGTTTTGGCTTTCAGTCTGCTGAGGTTGAAATAGCTTGCCATCTGTCCAATAGATGATTTCCACTCCAGTGGGAAGCTTCCCATCAACAAGGTGAAGTATCATAGCGATGAAGATGGAGAATAAAGTTGGAGCAATAACACATCCCTGTTTGACACCTGATTCCACCTTAAATGGGTCACTTTGGGAACCATTGCTGTCCAAGACTGTTGCCATCATGTCATCACGGAGGAGCCGCAGGATGTTCACAAATTTGTTTGGGCACCCGATTTTTTGGAGGATGGTCCAGAGAGCGCTGCGATTCACTGTGTCGAATGCCTTTGCAAGGTCGATGAATGCCATATACAGAGGTTGATTTTGTTCCCTGCATTTTTCTTGGAGCTGTCGTGCAGTGAAGATCATGTCCACGGTTCCTCTGGAGGGGCGGAAGCCCAGTCATAACTAATTTCTACATGGTACAACATTCAACAAGAATGATTGACAACTGGGAAATAGAGAGGCCAAGATGAAGTACTTTGGCCACATCATGAGAAGACAGGAAAGCTTAGAGAAGACAATGATGCTGGGGGAAAATGGAAGGAGAAAGGAAGAGGGGCCAACCAAGGGCAAGGTGGGTGGATGGTATCCTTGAAGTGACTGGATTGACCTTGAAGGAGCTGGGGGTGGTGACGACCGACAGGGAGCTCTGGCGTAGCTCTGCGAAGTTTCTTCACGGTCTCACAATATATTCCGTACTCATTTCGTCACATGCTGTTTTGACATTATGTCCTCTCCATAAACTTTCATGCCCTTAGGTAGTGTATTACAGTGCAAACTTGGAGGGAAACGGAATGAGGGTGCTCATCTCTAACCTTCACCACAACACCAGTCGATGAGCTACTGACAACTGGCACTGCTTGTTCGCTTCAGCTGGCTTCCCGTTACATGGCAGTGATACCAATTTCTCCTTCAAAAATTCCCTGTGAAAACTTTTAACCTTACTTTCAGGATAACTCTCAAATTAATCAGGCCTGGTGCAGACTGCAGCCAGGAAATCAGATGATGTTTCCTTCTTGGGAGGAGAGCAATGACCAATCTCAATAAAATAGTGAAGAGTACAGGCATCACACTGACAGTGAAGATCCACATAAAGTGGAAGTTTAAAATTTGTAATTAAAACAGTCTTTAAATTATTTTTACTTATTTACACTATTAATATACCACTTTTCTCACCCCTAGGGGGATTCAAAGCGGTTTTATCTTTCAAGACCTCATTTAGCTGTTGGAGCTCTTCTGGCAGGTCATTCCACAGTCATGGGGCGGCCGATGAAAAAGTCCTCTGGGTGATGGTCACCAGTAAGGTTCTGGCTGGTTGGAGTAACCGCCTCCCAGAGGACCTCAGTGTGCAGGGCAAATTGTACGCGAGAAGGTGATCCTGTAAGTAACCTGGACCCAAACCATGTGGGGCTTTAAACCAACACCTTGTACTCTGCCCAGAAACTCATTGGCAGTCAGTGGAGTGACTTTAATGTAAGTGCAATACACTCACTCCTAGTTGTTCCTGTAACCATTCTGGCTGCTGTATTTTGAACCAACTGGAGTTTCTGAACTTAGTACAAGGGTAGCTCAATGTAAAACACATTGCAGAAGTCCAACCTTGAGGTTACCAGTGTGTGCACTACCATCTTTAAGACCTTCAATTCCAGGAATAGGCACAGCCGGTGTATCAGTCAAAGCTAGTAGTAAGCACTCCTGACTGTCGCATCTACCTGAGTTGACCTTTGGAGAGATGGATCCAGGAGTATTCCAAAGCTTGAACACAGTCTTTCAGGGGGAGGGTAACCCCATCCAAAACTGGTGGAACATTTGCACCCCCAGATGAGGATCCTTGATGGCAAGGACCTCTGTTTTGTCTGGATTCAGTCTCAGTTTTTTCCCCTCATCCAGCCTATTACATTTTCCAGGCATTTCTTCAGAGGTGATACACTGTCCTTGGCTGAGATTGTTTTGGAAAGCATGGAGAATATTTAGATGTCATCAGCATAGTGATAACACCCTGTCCCATGCCTATGGATGATCTCTCTAGCAGCTTCATGTAAATATTAAAGAGCATTGGGGATAGAATAGCACCTTGTGGGATGTCACATAACAGTGCCTTTTTTGAGCAGCACTAATCCCAAGCGCCATTATCTGGAATCTTCCTGAGGGGTACAACCAGAACTACTGCAGCACAGTGCCTCCAATTCCCAGCTCCTCAAGACATTGTAGAAGGATACCATGGTCAATGGTATCGAAGGCCGCTGAGAGGTCTAGAAGCCCCAACAGGGACACACTCCCCCTGTTGGTGTTGAGACAGAGATAATCCACTAAGGCGACCGACCATAACAATTTCAACTCCGTATCCTGCTGTGAAGTTGGTTTGAAATGGGTCAAGGAAGTGTTTGTCATCCAAGATCACCTGAAGTCCTTCCCTCTCTTCTTAAAGCCAAACATACCAGGAATAAAAACCACACAAAATCAACTAACCTAAAGTTCCTCAAAGCGGACAACAGCAAAGCAGATGGTAATCTCCCAAAGCAGTCAAGAGCATGAGGCACGGAGGCTGCTCCCTTGAAGCCTTAATGCCCTGTACTCTTGCACTAGCTCTTTACTCAAAATGCTGCTCTTATGTCAAAATAAAACTCAGGCTGAGCAACAGCTCTTACCTCAACATGATTGTAAGTTGGGGTTCTTAAGTCAAGGTTCTATATATACATATGTACATTTCAGTTTAAAATGTACCTGGGTTGTTGTAGGTTTTTTGGGCTATATGGCCATATTCTAGAAGCATTCTCTCCTGACGTTTCGCCTGCATCTATGGCAAGCATCCTCAGAGGTTGTGAGGTCTGGAGAGAATGCTTCTAGAACATGGTCATATAGCCTGAAAAACCTACAACAACCCAGTGAGTCCAGCCATAAAAGCCTTTGA